TATATATATATATATATATATATATATATATATAATTCAGTATTTATGTTTATATGTATATGAATATGTATATATGTTTATTTCTATTATTTCTTTCAGTCATTCATTAATCTCGAATAAGAAAATTCAGTTTGGCTTTAAAGCCATGGCTTCTCGCTGGAGCAATTTGCCATACAGCGAACAAGAACAACTATATTTGGCTCAAACGACAACCACGTAAATCATACTTGAATATCTGCTTGATTTTAACTCAAACTTTTTTTTTTCACTATATATTAACAATGCAGTTACTTCTGTTTACCGAATTAATAAAATAAACACATTGGTCTTTTTAGTCCTCCACCGATTACAACGATGGTTTCTATGCGTAAAAATATTGGCGGATTAATTAAGCAAGAAATTTCAGGTACTAATGCAACATTTGTTAGTTAGTTTTTCTTTTTATACGGAAAGCTTTTTCTGTAGACAGTGACAATATGCCGTATCGGCGGCGATCAGTAGATCGCGTTGACGGCTTAAAGATTTACATTTAGTTGTGGTTTTGACTGTTATGTATATTTATGTATTACTTATAAAGAAGCAAGTAAGCCAAAAAGAGACGCTAATTTTGACGTACTTTTTTTTTTGCCGGTCAAGTAGTGAAAAAACATTTGCTGGACAGGCCATTTCATTTGTTTACGGCTGTCAAGTAATACAGTTTAGACGGAGACCAGATTCTGTGTTATTACAAGAACGTCGTCAACGATAGCCCAATACCATACGTATGTGAGCTCGGGTGCTGTCCTCACGGATGTTGTGGCATACAGGAGATATCTCAGTAAGATTCAAAATTTTATTTATTTATATTAACATCTATTAGGGTTAGCTTCTTTTCTGGGTTTTAGATAAATATTTTTTGTGTTTGAACTGCGCATTCAATCGTTGTTATACTAAATTTATCAACGCTCAATTTTTGCTCTCAGTTTTTCTCTCTGAGCACCACTTATGGTATAATCACAGCCAATGTTTTGCTAATAAGTTTGAAATTATCATTTTTTAAGTGAGATAATTGAATACTGTATTTAGTAGTTACGTTTTCGTTTAAAAAAAATGATTTTTTTCTGCCAAATTGTATAGGTATCACTCGCTATTCAGTAAAGGGTGGACATCAAAAGGCTCATAAAGGAGTCATAACTTGATCAAATAAGCAATTTTTATAGGAAGAGAATTACAGCTTTATGACTTGGAATGAAAATTTAATGACTTATTGCTATAGTTGGACCTTTTACATAATTTTAAAGCCAAGATAACCATTTTTGAGAAGCTTTTTTAGTCAAAAAGAAATTGAAGGTTTATTACTTACTGTGTGGACCAGTTTAAATTGTTTTAACTATTAATTGTGACTATTAGTTAGGTTTTCTTGAATAGTACACCTTTTGATTCAAAACCGTGAAGCTTTAATTTTTTGTGAGCTAAAAGTGTAACATCAAATAGCAGCAATCACCAGTTTTTGCGGACATATGAATTTTTGAAATGACCATAAGCACTGAAATTTGACTAATTTAAGGTTAATTAGCGTTTTCATTATGTAATTTAGATACAAATTTAACAGCGGCGAAAAAGTTTTTAAAATATTTTTTTATTGTAATAAATCAACAAGACATATTTTAGTGTTGCAGACTCGATAAACTGCATTAGGGAAAGGAGGGAAATGACAACTAACACAGCTAAAATAGTCGATCAAAAGTTATAAGCATTTTTTACACTACATACACTGATGTACCTGTCTAATTGTTGACGGTGAGAGAGAGGTGACAGCATAGCTGTGTAATGACAAAGAATAAATAAATAAATAAATAGGTAAATAAGAACCGACAAAAAATTAAGAAAAAAAAGATGAAAAATACGGAGAGCACTGGGAACGGAAAGAGATCAAAAAGACGTTTATTAAAAAGCCGCTACTAATGAACGCCTTTTGGCTGTCACTTTTTATGACATATTATATTACGGAAAACTTTGCAAACAATGGTGAAGTAGTTTTGTCTGATGGGTGTAAAAGGAAGAAATTTTGTCAGATTTTTTACAGGTCATCACCATCGTGCGACTAAAGCTAAAAAGCTGTTTTTTTCTTGAAGATATTGGAAGCTGTACATCAGATATTTTTTTAACCGTATACTATGATAAAGAAATACATTTATTTTTAGAACAAAATTGATTGCTAATTCTTTATTTTTATTTGTCAATACTTTATTTTCGTTGTTCTGTTTTCCGATTATCTCAAACAGCAAATCGTACAGCTGAGTTCACAACGGACAATAAACTGGCAATAACAACTCCAAAAGACTGTCAATTAGTCAGACAGTCCAAATGTTCTTTTCACTGAAGATGAAATTTGTTAACATAGAGTGTTAAAAATTTGAAGAATTAAAATATTATTTAAAACAAATATTGAAATTGGTTTCAAGCTGTAGACAATAATTTTTACCTTGTTATTTTCACTGCAAACATCAATTTAAGTAGTCGTTAAAAACCTGGTTTCAAACAGATGGCACCGTAACTGAATGCCACTCAACTAGTGTTTGCTGTACACTTGTAAAAAACTTTGTTTTTTTTTGTTCATATTTTGCCACAAATTGACTTGTGCTGTAAATCAAGTTTACCACTTTACAGAGCAGTTAGGAAAATCTTGAATTTATTATAATTAATTAAATTTACGTACTTTTCAGGAGAGCTCTAGTTGACTCTTTGTAAATGTTGTTAATAACTCATAAAAGAAAGCTACTTAGATTTAGCTCAAATAGAAAACGTTCAAAATACGCTGTTAAAGTATAGCAATATAATAAGAAATTGTTGTAGTACTACTATGTGATATAAAACTGCTGGACGAGACCGATTATTTACAGATCCAACACTTATGGATGGGCTATAGCATTGTTCTTCGTTTTGGTTTTCATAATAATCTTTGCTTTGATGGCGCTGTTTACTGTTTGTTACATTCACCGTCAAAAAAGTCAGCAAAGGCGTCAAAATGGTTTGAACTCGATTGATGAAAGTATAAGCGGATCACAGGTCAGTTCAAGTTCTTAAAGAAGCATTTTGAAAGACAAAGTAAGCAGAAAAAAAAAAGAAAAAGAAAAAAAGAAATTTACTGAATAG